TCTCTTGCCCGAGGTCATACACTCCCCTACTGCAGGGGCAGCCACATCCAAATGACCGTTTGGAAACCTAGGGTGTAAGGGCCTAGCTCTCATGCTTCAGTTCAGCAAACTCTGCAGGACCATCCCAGCTGCAGGGCTCCAGGTGGGATTAGCCAAGGCCTCTCTGGGCCTCCAGCCTCCATCAGACCCCAGTTCTTCTCTCCGCCCAATTCTGTTTCTTTGATATCCAGACAAGTGTGGATTGTGAATGCACTCCCCAATAAACTTCTTTCAAGCAAAACTCTATGCCAGAATGTGTTTTCTGGGAAAGCTACCTAAGATACCCAATAAAATATAGATAATGACTAAATTCCAAGGGATGCCTTTCCTGGGGATGTTTGTACAGCAATTATCATTATAACTAACATTCATGCAGTGATTTCTACGTGCCAGTCTAAGCACTTTGCCTTTAAGATAGTATTTAATGAAGAACAGAGCCTCACAGTAAATGAATGAATTTCTTTATTCTTTTTCTTTTTTATATATTTTTTGGGACAGAGTCTCGCTCTGTTGCCCAGGCTGGAGTACAGTGGCGCGATCTTGGCTCACTGCAACCTCCACCTCCTAGGTTCAAGCAATTCTCCTGCCTCAGCCTCCCAAGTAGCTGGAATTACAGGCGCGTGCCACCATGCCCAGCTACTTTTTGTATTTTTAGCAGAGACGGGGGTTTCATCATGTTGGTCAGGCTGGTCTCGAACTCCTGACCTCAAATTATCTACCTGCCTCAGCCTCCCAAAGTGCTGGGGTTACAGGTGTGAGCCACTGTTCCAGGCTATTTATTTATTTATTTTTTGAGATGGAGTTTTGCTTTGTCATCCGGGCTGGAATGCAATGGTGCGATCTCAGTTCACTGCAACCTCTGCCTCCCAGCTTCAATCAATTCTCCTGCCTCAGCCTCCGAAGTAGCTGGGATTACAGGCACCTGCCACCACGCTCGGCTGATTTTTTTGTTTTCAGTAGAGACGGGGTTTCACCATGTTGGCCAGGCTGGTCTTGAATTCCTGACCTCAGGTGATCCACCAGCCTCAGCCTCCCAAAGTGCTGGGATTACAGGCATCAGCCGCTGTGCCTGGGCAGGCCTATTTATTTTTATTTATTATTATTTTTTTAAGGCTAGTCAAGTGAAACAGAGAGAGTGGAGAAGGAACAAAGAAATCTGTAACTGGTTGTGATCAATTAGTTGTAAACACCGCTGCACTCGCACTAGCCTAAAGGAATGAATTTCTAACGGTGAAATTTCAGGCGTAGGCAGTAGCATGCTTGGGTATCTAGGAGTGTTTGTGTTGCACAGATTCCAAATTTCTCTGTCTTAATGTATGGTCAGTCCTGGTCCTTGTGTTGACTGGGTAAAGCCCCCAGCAGGTCATGGTGTTAGTTCCCAAAGTCATTCTTCTGGGAAAAAAACAAAACAAAACAAAACAAAAAAACAGATATGGTGGCTCATGCCTGTAATCTCAGTACTTTGGGAGGCTGAGGCAGATAGATCACCTGAGGTTAGGAGTTCGAGACCAGCCTGACCAACATGGTGAAACCTTGTCTCTACTAAAAATACAAAAATTATTTGGGCATGATGGTGGGTGCCTGTAATCCCAGCTACTTGGAAGGCTGAGGCAGGAGAATCTCTTGAACCCGGGAGGCGGAGATTGCAGTGAGCTGAGATGGTGCCACTGCTGCCACTGTCTCAAAAAACGAAAACAAAAACGAACGAACAACAACAAAAAAATCCCAACAAAACAAAAAGCCAGGGCTGCTTCTGCTCAATAATGTTCTATGTTTGTTCCACCTCTTCTCTCGGGTCTCACTTCTTGGGAGCCTGTGTGGAGGTGAATTCCTCTGAAAGCCAACTACCCCTATTTGGGACTCCCCAGTCCCTTTCTGAGAAATGGTGACATTGTTCCTAGCACTTCCTCTCCCTTCCTAGGCAGCTCCTGCAGCCACTGCTGAGCTCTTCTCAAATCCTCCTTCTTGAGGCTTGGGCTTTCCACCTTTCCCTATTCCCCTACCTCACTCTGTTCCACCCTACTCTGGGGGAGAGGGCTGGTCTGGGTGCTGACCCCTGAGCCTGAGCCTCCCTCCATCCCTAAGCTGCCTGCTTCCCGGGGAACATGCTCAGGCAGCAGGCTGTGTGTGGCTCTGATTGGTTTTCTGGCCATCACGAACATGTCCCAACATGTTGAGCTCTGGCATAGAAGAAGCTGGTGGCTATTCTGTCCTTGGGGCTGGCTGTCTTCAGGTGAGGAAGGGGATGGTAGGAGACAGAGGACCTCCAGAGACCTCAGGTAGACCTTGGCCCCTTTCTCTGAACAGGGTATGTGATCTGCCGGCAGATCCTTGGGACAGGGCTGGGATCTGGTGTCTGTGTGCTTGTGTGAGTGTGTGCTGGGAGTCAGATTTTGTGTGTGACTCTAACAACCTGCTCCCTTGCCTGCTGCAGGGCACAGGTCCTTCCTTAGAGTGTGTCTGGCTACACATTCAAGTGCATGGTTGCAAACTTTTTTTTTTTTTTTGAGACAGAGTTTCGCTCTTGTTACCCCAACCTCCGCCTCCTGGGTTCAGGCAATTCTCCTGCCTCAGCCTCCTGAGTAGCTGGGATTACAGGCATGTGCCACCATGCCCAGCTAATTTTTTGTATTTTTTTAGTAGAGACGGGGTTTCACTATGTTGACCGGGATGGTCTCGATCTCTTGACCTCGTGATCCACCCGCCTCGGCCTCCCAAAGTGCTGGGATTACAGGCTTGAGCCACCGCGCCCGGCAAACTTTTTTTTTTTTAAGCACTGAATAGTACTAGATACTTAGCAGGTACTTAAGAAATATTGAATATTGAATGTGGTGATGAGCTAGAAGTTATAAAAAGATTGTTTCCCAAAAACAACAATACAAACAATTATTTAATTGTGAAGCTCAGTACCACAAAACTTTAAATAATTCATTACAGGCCTTTATAAAAAAAATTTTCCCCAAAAAATAAACAGACAGACAATGTCTCGTCTATTTGAAATGCCCTGAAAGCGGAGGGGCTTCAAGGCAGTGGGAGGAGGTGCCTGTCCTCTGCTGGACATTTGATAACGCACTCTTTGGATGGTTTGGATGTATAGAGGGGAAGGTGGAGACAGCGGTGGGTCTGAGAGTGGGGTCCTGAGGCCGTGCCGTGGACTTTCTGGGGTTTAACCACAATCCTGGCCTGACTCCAGGGCCAGGCAGGCCAAGGGGGTCTGCTCCTATGTCCTCCCACCCCTACCTGGGCTCCCATCCCCACAGTGGAGGAGACAGAAGCGTCTCCCCCCTGAGGTCAGCTATGTTAGAGGAAGAACATGTGCACTGGACACATTTTTCCCTCAAAGTGGGCCTCAAGTTTTCTCCCTCAAAGTGAGCCTTTTTTAGTTGGAGAATGACTTGGCACTCCCCAGGAGGGCACAGCACTGTTAGAATGAGCCCCCTTTCCGGCCCACCACTGACCCACTATGGCACGCAAGGATTTACTCAATGTAGCCGAAAAGATCAGGAGGATGACATTAATACATAAAAATCCATAAATAATAAAAAACGATGTGCAAAGAATTGTTTCGTTGTGAAGCTCAGTATCACAAAACTTTATAATTCATTACAAGCCTTTATTAAAAAAAAAGAAAAAAAAAAAAGGCTTGGGGCATGCCTGGGCAGAGATTTCCAGACTCTGAGCAGCCCGAGATGTCAGTAATTGTAGCTGCTCCAAGCCTGGGTTCTATTTTTTAGTGGGATTTCTTTTCAGATTAACAATCCATCCTCTGCAATTTTTTTTCAAAGCAAAACTGCAAATGTTTCAGGCACAGAAAGGAGGCAAAGGTGAAGTCCAAGGGAGGTCAGATGTATGGGGTCGATGGGAGCAGATAGACACGTTACTTATTTCTGTGTCTGTCAGAAGCACCAGTAGACACTTCCAGAATTATCCTTTATTTGTGTCATTTCCATAAACTGCAAATGAGGGTTTTTGGGTGTTTTTGTCATTCTGGAGCCACAGAAATAAAGGGTGACAAGCAGAGAGCCTTGGGCAGGAGGCAAAAGTCCTGTGTTCCAACCATAGTCGTTTCTTTGCTGCATGATCTGAGTCAGGTCACTAGACTTTTCTGAGCCTCAGTTTCCCCAGCAGTGTATATGGGCCATGTGGCGAGTATTTAGGAGACAGACGACTCACTCATCAAATCCTCTGCTTCCTGGCCAACAAAGCTGCTGCAATCACCGTGTTCTTCTGTTGAGGTGAGTGTACGGGGTACGGAGATTGGTTCAATGTCCAATTCTTCCTCGGTTTTCTGATAGTGTCTCCAATTCCCTCCTTCCGGGAAGCACGTGACAATCAACAACTTTGTATACTTAAGTTCAGTTGCCTCATCTGTGAAATAAAGGGAACTGAAAAATCATTCTGGCCTCACCATATTTTGTTGGGGTGTCTAGGTGCCCCAGGTGTGTCTGGGAGAGGTGACCTAATGAGGGATCAATGGGAATAGAGATAGTATTGTGGGGCTTTTCTGGAAGTTGCAGAGAGGCACATCGTTTTGATCATTTATGGATTTTTATTTACGAACGTCATCCTCCTGATCTTTTCAGCTGCATTGGGTAAATCCTTGCCTGCCATAGTGGGTCAGCGGTGGGCCGGAAAGGGGGCTCATTCGAACAGTCCCCTCCTGGGGAGTGCCGAGTCATTCTCCAACTAAAAAAGGCCAGATTTGAGGCTCACTATGGGAAAAATGTGTCCAGTGCACCGAGCACGTTAGAGACAACGGGAGGAGGGAAGCGCCCTCCTGCAGCACGCGAGGTTCCGGGACCATCTGGGGCTGCTGGAACTCGGCCAGGCTCAGCTGGCTCGGCGCTGGGCAGCCAGGGCCCCGGGCCTGGGGGAGGGCGGTCCAGGGGCGGCGCGGTAGGCCGAGCGCGAGTCCCGCCCCTCCCCGGGAGGTAGGTTATATTAGCGCCCTAAGAGCGGCACCAGTTGAGGTGTGAGCAGCTGCGGGAGTCAGTTCCTTGTGGGGTCAGAGCTGGGCGCGGATTCGCCGAGGCACCGAGGCACTCAGGAGGTGAGGGAGCGGCGGCAGCCAACAGGGGACCCCAGGCCGCCGGCCCAGAGCCGAGCCGAGCGTGCCTGCCTGTGTCCGTGCGTGTCGCGGGTATACGTGTCCGCGGGTGTGTGCTGCGTTCACAGGTGTTTCTGCGGCAGGTGAATGACGGGCGTGGGTCTGTGCGCGCTCGGCTTGCGCACAAGGTGTCTGTAAAGTGCTCGGGCGATGGGGATCGGGATGTGTCGGAGGCTCCGGGCGGAGAGCGGGATTACAAGTACAGGGATCCCGGGCCACGCTCCCCGCCCCTGGAAACCCAGCTGGGGCGAGGGAGGGCGTGGACGGGACCGCTCTGGGAGTTCGCCTTCGGCAGCGGTGGGCTCCAAGCCCCAGGCGCAGTTTGCTCCTGGAGTGGGAATGAAGTCCGTGTCCTGGACCCTGGAGGGGTCCAGGAGGGGCGAGGAAAGCGGAGTGGAGTTAGTTCGTCTGGGATCTGTCCCGGGCGGTTCTCGGATCCAAGCGGCGCCGCCCTGGCCCACGTCCCGGGGTTCAGGTCCTCTACGCCACTGTGTCAACCACCTGGCTGGGCGCTGAGGTAAGTGCGGGCTGTTTCCCGGCCCTTGGGAATGTGCCAGGACACGTCCCCTAAGGACAAGCGAGGAGCTGACTCATTGTGACAAGGAGACCCCAGGGAACGGACTGTATAAGGTCAGAACCTGGCCCGGGCTGGGGTACGGTGGGACCCCAGAAGCCCCCTCCCTCTCCCTTGGGGTCTCGCCCTACCATCAGCACAGTGACCTATTTGGCTGGCACAGCGTGTTCCCAGGGAAGCCGGGCACTGGAGGCCCAGGACGTTGTGTCTGATCCCGCTCCGCGGCGCGCCCTAGAGGCCGGGGAGTCAACGCCCTGCGCTGGGCGGGCTCTAACCAGCCTGTCGGTCGGGGAAGGGCAGGGGTCTCCTCTACCTCTTTCCCACTGCGGCTGGGAGAACTACGGCCCAGCCTGCCCTCGAGTTGGGGCACTGGACTCCGGGGCGAGAGCGGAGCCCACGCCTGAGCGGGAGGTGAGGAAAGATTAAGTATTTGCGGGTGGGTGGCGTTTCTGGGGGGCACGATGCGTCTCAGGGCTTCCATCAGCTGCCGCTGGGGCTCGGGGTTCCCCGACCTAGCCCGGATTCCCTCTCCGAAAGCTACAAGGCTGAGCGGAGCAGGGGCTGGAGCGCCGCCGCCGGGCGCGGACCACGGCGCGTCCTCTCAGTCCCGAACCCCTGGGGGACACTTGCGCCCTCTTCGTGCGGAAAAACATCTAGGGGCTGGGTTTGGAACTTGGGGCGCCCAGACAGCTTCCCCTCTCTCTCCCTCCCTCCACGTCGTATTTCTGGGAGAACTTCCGAGCGGTTTTGTTTTCGTTGCTCCCGTCTATTTTTATTTTCCAGGGATCTGACTCATCCCGTGCTTTGGGCGTGGAGATAAGGTGGAGGGGCCAGCTCCCGGCGCGCGCGCGCGTGTGTGTGTGTGTGTGTGTGTGTCTGTGTGTCAGAGACGGCGCAGGAGCGCGCGGTTTCGCAACAGCGGCGGGAGTTTTGGAAGCCTGGCCCAGCGTGACGTGTTCGCGGCCCTCCGGTCCCCTCCCATGCTCCCTCTCCCCACCCCAGTGTGACGCGCAGCCGGAGTGGAAGTCGGGTTTTGGCGGGCGGGCAGCGCCTTGCGGGAAACTGACTCATCACTGCTCCCCCGCTGTCCAATGCTCTGCCCACGTACCTCCCACCCCGCGCGTGATTTCCTGGAGGCCGGCGCCCCCTCCCGGCCCTGGCGCGAATGACACACCCGCTTTCCCGCGGAGTGGGGCTGGCAGGCGGGAACAACCGCGGGTACCCCGGGCTCATCTGAGATTATGCTATTCACTGCCCCTTCAAAGGAACACTCCTTAGGTTCAGCAGTATTTACTGAGCTCTTACTGGAAATTACTATGACTGAAGTCTAAGGCAGGAAGGCCAACAAGGGAGGCTATTCTCAGTTATTTGTAAAACAAGAGTTTGCGTGTCTGAGTTTTCTTTGGGCTGAAAGTTATGACAATTCGCATGAGAGCAGATTTGGATTGGGGAGGAGAGGCCTGTGAGAGCCCTAAGGGAAGGGGTGGTAGAAGGGGAGAGAGTGCCTGCCTAGATCCTAGTCCCGTCTTGAGCTCCTGGGAGCCAGGGAATAATATCCTTGATGAAGCCCTTCCTTGTGCCTATGATGTATTGAGACCCAGAATGTCCATTTCAAACACACCAGTGTCCCCCTTGTCTGGCACCCCAAGAGTGCCAAGCTGAGGAACTGTGCTGAACACTTGCTTAAATCTTCAAACACCTACTTAAATCTTCAATCTTCAATTTGGATTAAGTTGATCTCAAGAGGCAGGGCCTTGAAAAACTCCCTAAGTGATTTTTTTCTTTTCTTTTTTTTTTTTTTTTTTTTTTGAGACAGGGTCTCACTCTGTTACCCAGGCTGGAGTGCAATGGCACCATCCTAGACTCAAGCAATCTTCCTGTCTCAGCCTTCCAAGTAGCTGGGACCACAGGCGTGAGCCCCCATGCCCAACTAATTTTTTTTTTTTTTTTTTTTTTGAGATGGAGTCTCACTCTGTCACCCAGGCTGGAGTGCAGTGGCGTGATCTCAGCTCATTGCAACCTCCACCTCTTGGGTTCAAGCGATTCTCCTGCCTCGGCCTCCCGAGTAGCTGGGACTACAGGTGTGCACCACAACGCCTAGCTAGTTTTTATAATTTTAGTAGAGATAGGGTTTTGCTGTGTTGGCCAGGCTGGTCTTGAACTCCTGACCTCAAGTGATCTGGCTGCCACAGCCTCCCAAAGTTCTACGATTACAGATGTGAGCCACTGCACCCAGCCCACCAGCTAATTTTTATTTATTTTTATTTTTAGTAGAGATAGGGTCTCTCTGCGTTGCCTAGGCTAGTCTTGAATGCTTGGGCTCAAATGATTCCCCCATCTCAGCCTCCCAGAGTGTTACATTACAGGTGTGAGCCACTGCCCCTGGTCTCCCCAAGTGATTCTGATAGGACTCTCTGGTTAAGAAACCTCAAAATTAGAGAGGGAGTGGGTTCAATACTAGAGCACAGGACTCAGGGCAAACAGGCCTGTGTTCAGATCCTGGCTCTGCCACTTATGAACTGTGTGACGATGGGCAAGTTACTTAACTTCTCTGAGCCTTTGTTACCTCTTCTGTAAAAAGGGAGCTAATAGCTATCCACTTTTTAGAGGATCGACATTTTTAAACTGCTTAGAACAGCCCCCATACATGAAAATATACAAATAAATCCCAACTCATGCCTAGGAGAGTGTAGACAGAGGTTCCTTGAGGACTCTGTCCACTGTACTGTGTGACCCCTTTATGGGGCAGTGGCCTTTGGCCTTTTTAGCTGTATGACTTGGGGGCAAGTCTCGTATCTCTTCCATCTCCTGCCCTTTAAAGTTGGTGTGAGGTTACCAAGCATCTCCTCTCCCAACCAGCTGGGACGTGAAACTGTGGGCTCCACTGATCACAAGCAGTGGGGTGAGGTGGGACGGAGCAGATGTGGCATGTGTCCCAGGCTTCCTGCCTGAGGAACACTCAGCAGAGATTTCACCTCCCAGAGCCTGCAAGTTGGGACTTGTTGCTAGGAAAACCCAGTTGCTGCCAAGGTCGTGCGGTCACTCAGTCCTGGAGTCAAGCCAGAGTGGGCAGCTAGGTGCCAGGGCTCCCTCATGGGCAGACTCACCCCTGGTTTTCCCTCTCCTGAAGTGGGAGGGGAGGAGCCAGGTAGATCAGCCACTTTTAATTTTCTTTGTCTGCAAAACGGGTTCCTTGGACGCAGGCGGCACCGGGCAGGGGCTGCCAGGTGTCTAGACTTCAGATCACCTGATGTGCCTGGCAGGATGTGGCTCAGCCTGGGAGAAATTATCTTCTGCCCCACCCCACCCAGCTCCGCCCAGCCCCTCCTTACCCCTAGGCCACCCGCCTGATGACATCCTTGGGAAAGGCCTTCAGCCTACAGCACCTGTCAGCTGCTGTCTAAAGGGGATAGTTGGCAGGGGGAAGTGATAGGGAGGAGGCTCAGTAAAGCTGAAGGCAGAGAGAAATAATCACACTTGGATTTTCCAAGCACTTGTGTATATGAAGTGTTGCTGGCACCTTACCTACATTAACTCAGTTAATCCTCACATCTACCCTCGGAGACAGTCACCATTACTATCTCCATTTCACAGATGAGGAAAATAGAGCTCAGACAAGTTAAGTTGCTTGTCCAGGGTCACCTGGTAAAACCTGGACTTCAACTTAGGTGATCTGGCTCCAGAGCCTTCCCACTCAGCCACCGAGACACAGCCTTTCATTCAGCTCTGTTCCATCTGCCTTGCTGGTTGGACTCCGCAATCAATCGCTTGAGTATGTGTCCACAGCCATGCTCTTTTTGTTTTTGAGGCAGAGTTTTGCTCTTGTTGCTCAAGCTAGAGTGCAATGGCGCGATTTTGGCTCACCCCAACCTTTGCCTCCCGGGTTCATGTGATTCTCCTGGCTCTGCCTCCTGAGTAGCTGGGACTACAGGCATGTGCCACCACACCCAGCTTATTTTGTATTTTTAGTAGAGATGGGGTTTCTCCATGTTTGTCAGGCTGGTCTTGAACTCTGGACCTCAGGTGATCCGCCCACCTTGGCCTCCCAAAGTGTTGGGATTACAGGCGTGAGCCACCACGCCTGGCCCAGCCATGCTCTTTAAACTTGCATATGGACCCATTTATGGGTGAGGAAACTGAGACCTAGTGGCTTTTTTTTTTTTTTTGAGACGGAGTTTCACTCGTTACCCAGGCTGGAGTGCAATGGCACGATCTCGGCTCACCGCAACCTCCGCCTCCTGGGTTCAGGCAATTCTCCTGCCTCAGCCTCCTGAGTAGCTGGGATTACAGGCACGCGCCACCATGCCCAGCTAATTTTTTGTATTTTTAGTAGAGACGGGGTTTCACCATGTTGCCCAGGATGGTCTCGATCTCTCGACCTCGTGATCCACCCGCCTCGGCCTCCCAAAGTGCTGGGATGACAGGCTTGAGCCACCAAGCCCGACTCCTAGTGGCTTTTTAAAAGTGAGGTAGTAAGTGGCAGAGCTAGGACCACAACCCAGGTGCTTTTTACCCCAGAGTCCAGGGTACTTTTACTTGGCCGAGCCGGGTTACCTTACTTGGGCATCTGGGTGGGGGTTCAGGAGGCTGGAAGAACTGTCAGACTGTTTCTTTATTTGGGAACTGACCTCCTGGCCAGGGCTGGGATTCAGAAACTGCTGGATTCTGGCAATTCACACGTATCTGGGGACATTCATACCCATGAGGGACACCTCAGGGGGGAAAACAAATTGATTTTAGCTGATAATACCTGGTGGTAAACAGGACCCTGATCCTTGCTTTTGCAATAAACTTGACTTTGTTGACATTAGCTTGCCCTTCAGCTGCCTGCTCCCCCAGTGACCTTGGGGTGCCAGGCTGGCTGAGCTCTGCTGGTGGGGGTCAGGCCTCCTGTGGGAAGGAGGCAGGAAGACCAGCTGGAAGGAGTCAGAGAGACCCTGTGGTAGGAAGACCTCAGGTGACACAGCAAAGCCCAGCCAGGTAGCATAGTGTCGAGTCTCCAAGGTGACCAGGGCCTTCCTTGTGTCTGCTGCAGGCGCCATGTCAGAAGAGATTGGGGATGTCCGTCCGAACCCATCCAGCAGCAAGGCCCGCCGCTGCCTCTTCGGCCCAGTGGACAGCGAGCAGCTGAGACGCGATTGTGACGCGCTGATGGCAGGCTGCATCCAGGAGGCCCGTGAGCGATGGAACTTCGACTTTGTCACCGAGACACCACTGGAGGGTGACTTCGCCTGGGAGCGTGTGCGGGGCCTTGGCCTGCCCAAGATCTACCTTTCCAAAGGGCCCCTGGGAGGAGGCAGGCGGCCTGGCACCTCGCCTGCTCTGCTGCAGGGGACAGCGGAGGAAGACCACGTGGACCTGTCGCTGTCTTGCACCCTTATGCCTCACTCAGGGGAGCGGCCTGAGGAGTCCCCAGGTGGACCTGGAGACTCTGAGGGTCGAAAACGGCGGCAGACTAGCATGACAGGTGAGGACAGGTGTAGGGAAGGACATTGTAAGGGACCAGGATTCTCAGAGTCCATGGTCCAAGGGCTGACCTGTCCTGTCCTGGTCTAGCGTGCTCCTTAGGTAGAAGGAAACAGGCCCGGAGTTCACACAGCAAGTAGGTAGCCAAGACCAGCTAGCTAACATTTGTGGGGAACTTACGTTATGCCAGGCCTTTCGCTAAGCTTCTAAGGTAGATTTGTTTAGTCCTTATGCAATGTTATACCGTAAGACATTCTTGTCACCCACCCCGCCTTTCTTTTTGAGACCGGTGTTTTTTTTTTTTTTTTTTTTTTTGAGACAGAGTTTCGCTCTTGTTACCCAGGCTGGAGTGCAATGGCGCGATCTCGGCTCACCGCAACCTCCGCCTCCTGGGTTCAGGCAGTTCTCCTGCCTCAGCCTCCTCCGTAGCTGGGATTACAAGCACGCACCACCATGCCCAGCTAATTTTTTGTATTTTTAGTAGAGACGGGGTTTCACCATGTTGACCAGGATGGTCTCGATCTCTTGACCTTGTGATCCACCTGCCTCAGCCTCCCAAAGTGCTGGGATTACAGGCTTGAGCCACCGCGCCCAGCCGAGATGGGTGTCTCAACTCTGTTGGCCAAACTGGAGTGTAGTGAAGTGATCATGGCTCACTGCAGCTTCAACTCCTGGGCTCAAGCGATCTTCCCACCTCAGCCTCCTGGGTAGCTGGGAAGCTGGGACTACAGGTGCACGCCACTATGCCCGGCTTATTTTTCGAGTTTTTGTAAAGACAAGGTCTCACCATGTTGCCCGGGCTGGTCTCAAACTCCGAGCTCAAGCAGTCCTCCTGCCTCAGCCTCGCAAAGTGTTGGGATTACAGGCATGAGCCACCGTGCCCAGCCCCTTGCCATCCTTTTAGGAAAAGTAATCCAGGCTCAGAGAGGTGACGTGATTCATCTAAGGTCCCAAAGTCAATCTGCAGTTAGGTCAGGACTAATGGTAAGAACCATGACCACTGACGTTGACATGGGCCTGGAGCTGTGCCCAACACTTTCATGGATCTTGTAACAGAATCCCTAGATCAGCACTTTCCAGTAGAACTCTGCAGGGATGGGAGTGTCCGGTCCAGGGGCCACAAACCACATACGGCTGGTGTGCATTTGACATGCGGCTCGTGTGACTGAGGAACTGCATTTTTCATTTTATCTAATTTTGGTCAATTTAAAGAAACACACAGAGCTAGTGGCTCCTCTCCTGGGCAGCTTGGCTTAGAGCAGACCCGTGGGTGCAGGTGCAGTGATGGATAAAATCACAGCTGTGAAGCACGGTGGGACGCTCCATAAGTACCCGCCGAGAGGCAGCGTGGGCGTTTCCCGAGTTCTTTCCGTGCTCTCCCACCATGTCCTCTTCCTCGTGGCCTGGCTGACTTCCGCTCTCTCTCCTCAGATTTCTACCACTCCAAACGCCGGCTGATCTTCTCCAAGAGGAAGCCCTAATCCGCCCAGTCCTGGAAACGCGAGGGCCTCTACACCTTCTGCCTTAGTCTTTCAGTGTGTGTGTCTTAATTATTATTTGTGTTTTAATTTAAACTCCTCCTCCTGTACATACCCTGGCTGCCCCCTGTCCCCCAGCCTCTGGCATTAGAATTATTTAAACAAAAACTAGGCAGTCGAGTAATAGGTTCCTCGGAGTGCTGGGCATTTGTATTTGATGAAAGACTATTTAAAACCTTCTCATCCGATTTCTCCGTGTCCTCTCTCCTGGAGGTCGGGCGGGCTGGCTTCCCCCAGTTACTTCCTCCTCCCCACTTGTCTGCAGAGTGGCACGGCACCCCCTGGAGGGACGAGGCTGCCTCCCCTCGCTGTCACAGGGGGCTATGAAATTCACTCCCTTTCCTGGACACTCAGGCCTGGGTACCTTTTAATTGGAGAAGTAAAGAGATGGCACTTTGAAGGGGCCTTGCTGAGTGCGGGCATCATCAAAACCTGCCCTGCCCAGTCTTAGAGGAGGACCCTTGACCTCTAAGGTCGGGTAGGGTGACCCTGAAGTGAGTGTGGCCTAGGGCAGGGCTGGGGACCTGGTACCCTCCTGCTCTTGATGCTCCCCTCTGTCCTGTGAAGGCAGGGGACCTCCCCGCCTGCCCTCATGGCCCCTCTGACACGCACTGGGGAGCCGGCCTCAGTGTTGAGCCTTCTCCCTCTTTGGCTCCTCCTGTACTTTTTGAGGAGCCCCAGCTACCCCTCTTCTCCAGCAGGGCTCTGCAGTTCCCCTCTGCTGCTCTCCCACACCCCGTCCTTTCCCTCCAGTACCCCCTCAGCTCCACGTGGCTCTGAGGTGCCCATCCCTACCCGCCCCCCCCCAGCTCAATAGACTGGAAGGGGAATGGACACACAGGAAGAAGGGCACCCTGGTTCTACTTCTGGCAGCTCAAGCAGCGACCGCCTCCTCTTTTAGCTCCGCGTGTGAGGGTCCTGTGTGGTGGCACAGTCCCCCTTGAGTGGGGATCGCTGTATGTTAGGGGTATGTGATGGGGGAGGGGATCTTTCTAGAAGGGAGATACCAGCCCCTCAAATCGTCCAGCAACCTTTCCTGTCCATGTCATCCCTCCCCAGTTCATTGCACTTTGAGTAGCAGCTGAACAAGGAGTCAGGCTTTTGTTTTTTTTTGAGAGAGAGAGAGTCTCATACTGTCTCCTGGGCTGGGCTGGAGTGCAGTGGGGCGATCTCAGCTCATTGCAACCTCTGCCTCCTGAGTTCAAGTTATTCTCCTGCCTCAGCCTCCCGAGTCGCTGAAACGTACGAATTTTTGGTATTTCTAGTGGAGATGGGATTTCACTATGTCGTCCAGGCTAGTTTCAAATTTCTGACCTTGTAATCTGCCCACCTCGGCCTCCCAAGGTGCTGGAATTACAGGTGTGTGTGCACCCCCACCTGTAGTCAGGCAATTTAAGAAGGGGGCAGTGGAGGCTGTTGACAGGGCATGCCATGTGGGCTCATATGTGATGGGTGTGACCCCAAACACCTTCCAATTCTTGTAACATCCTGGCCTCGACTGTTTTCTCTCGGGCTCCCCAGTTTAGGTGGTTCTTCTGTGTCTCCACCTAAACTGTAAACCTCTTGAGGTCAGAGACCAAACCCTGTACTGTTCTGTGCTGTTCACAGCTCCTCCTACGTGCTGAATGTACAACAGGTGCTCAATAAATGATTCTTGGCAATCTTACTTGTAATACGACTATTGTGGTCCTTATACCTTGTTATAAGAACAAATAAATGGGCTTTGGGGAAGGGTTTCATAATTTTAAAAATTACGCATTTACATTGAGAAAATGCAGAAAACTTAGCAAATAGAAAGACTGTGCTTCAGAAAACAATAACAAAGCAAAAACTACCATCACACCTCCACAAAGATTGCCACTGTCAATATTTTGGTTTGTTTAATCTTTTTGTAAAGTATATAGCTTAACATCATTACTTATCAGAAAAATGCAAATTGAGATACCACAGTAAGATACCACTGCACACCTACCAGAATGACTACAATTAAAAAGACTGATAACGCCAAGTGTTGGCAAGGCTATGGAGGAATTGGAACTCTTATTTAAAAAACTGTTTGTTTGGGCTGGGTGCAGTGGCTCACACCTATAATCCCAGCGCTTTGAGAGGCTGAGGCAGGCAGATCAATTGAGGTCAAGAGTTCAAGACCAGCCTGGCGAATGAACCCGGTGAAACCTGTCTCTACTAAAAACACAAAAATTAGCTGGATGTGGTGGTGTACTCTTCTAATCCCACCTACTTGGGAGGCTGAGGTGGGAAGATCGCTTGAACCCAGGAGGCAGAGGTTGCAGTGAGCTGATACCACACCACTGCACTCCATCCTCTTCCAGGGCAAAAGAGTGACCAGTGGGACAATTTTAGAGACTTCTACTTGGTCTTTCTTTCCATAATGGCTCTTATTCCAGAGATGAGTGAGAATGTGAGAATGTGGCAGAATGTGAGAGTTCTGCCATCTGCAAAGTGATGCATCCCAATTTGCACTCCAGGGCTAGGAAATAACCACAGAGTACATCCACAGACTCACCGGGAGATGAACTTGGCTAGAACTCTATTTATCACCTGGCCTTCTATGTCCCCCCTCTCTAAAAGGAGGCTATAATGGTATTTTGGGTCACCTGGAAGCAGTGAAATCTCAGACCCAGTATCTAACAGACCTCAAATGATCCTAACAGACCTCAAATGATCTGGTTATTCCCTGTTCCACACTGTACAGCTATTCTGATTCATAGCCAGAGGGCACTTTAGGAAAGAATCAAGAAAACATTTATTTTAGATATTTATAGTGGCATTATGGATCTTCCATCAGTGCGTCCTGGGTCAGAGCTGGCTCAAATCTGGAAACTAGGTAAGGGACTGTGATTTTTTGTCTCAGCAGCTGACAGCCTCTGCTCACTCACCCTTGATCTTGTGGTTGAGTCAAGTAAGACTCTCATTAAATACCCCCTCTCTTGCCGTAGGGACGTCACTGCTGCAGAGCCCTGGAGATCAAGGACCCCTTGGTTACCATTCAGGCCTTGCTGCCTGTCATTGTAATTGTGTCCACCTTGCCTCTGATGATTAAGTGGCCCTTTGTGGTCTCTGCTCTTCCACTTAATGTCTCCATTGACAGTGGCCGTGGTATTCCATGGCAGTATCTCCTCTGTCAACCTGGGCTACAGAGGACGGCAGCACTGAGCTCCTTTTACTAGGGACTTGTTTTTTTTTTTTTTTTCTTTTTGAGATGGTGTTTCACTCTTGTTGCCCAAGCTGGAGTGTAGTGGCGGGATCTTGGCTCACTGCAACCTCCACTTCCCAGGTTCAAGCGATTCTCCTGCCTCAGCCTCCTGAGTAGCTGGGATTACAGGCACGTGCCACCATGTCCCGCTAATTTTTTTTTATTTTATTTTTAGTAGACACGGGGTTTTACCATGTTGGCCAGGCTGGTCTTGAACTCCTGGCTTCAGGTGATCCACCCCCCTCGGCCTCCCAAAGTGCTGGGATTACAGGCATGAGCCACAGCACCCAGTGGGACTTCTTTTTTTTTTTTTTTGAGACGGAGTTTCGCTCTTGTTACCCAGGCTGGAGTGCAATGGCGCGATCTCGGCTCACCGCAACCTCCGCCTCCCGGGTTCAGGCAATTCTCCTGCCTCGGCCTCCTGAGTAGCTGGGATTACAGGCACACGCCACCATGCCCAGCTAATTTTTTGTATTTTAGTAGAGACGGGGTTTCACCATCTTGACCAGGATGGTCTCAATCTCTTGACCTCGTGACCCACCCGTCTCGGCCTCCCAAAGTGCTGGGATTACAGGCTTGAGCCACCGCACCCGGCTGGGACTTCTTTATTGCTTTGCAAAGGGAAGGCTTTCTGGACCCTCCTCTCTGAGCCTTCTGATCCCTCATTAGTACTCATCCAAGGCTATTTCAGCATTGCCACCTTGCTACTGTAAGCCATCATTGGGTCTAAACCTCAAGGACGAATTCAGCAGTGTGTTAAGACCAGCTCCAGTGGTCTCACCAGGATGTTAAACTCCGAGTCCAAAGACAGTGCCTCCATAGGACCCTCTTTCTCTACCTTTGTATTCCTCAGCTCCCCCAAGCCGCAGCCCGCATCCTCAAGATCTCTTCCTATATGTGTTTTCCTGTTCCTACTGATACGTATCAGCCAGACCTGTAGCTTTTTTGGTAAATAAGCTATTTTCTCCAGCAATGGGGACTATATACTTTCTCGCTTGGGCAATGCTAAGACCTGACCCTAATTACTGGTCTAGAGCAGGGGTAGGCAAACCATAGCTCCACGGACCAGCTGCCTGTTTCTGTATATAAAGCTTTCTTGGAATGCACACACACCTATTTGTTTCCCTATTGTCCATGGTTGTTTTTGCACTGTCGTTTTAAGTGCAAAAGTAGAATTGAATAATTGCAACAGAGACCACATGGCCTGCAAATCTAAAATATTTACTCTCTTGCCCTTTAAGAAACTGTTTTTTGACCCTGGTCTAGAGGCAGTGAGGGAAGGAGGGATGGATCTTGAGGGAGATAAGCATCATCTTGTGAGGCATCCACCTCAGGTGCGTTCTTAGTGTGGTCCTCAGGTCATGGGAGAATTTTCTAGTAAAGGAAGGGGCACTTCTGCAGGCCTAGAAGGCTCGGCGAAGCTGAGGGTTCAAGCTTCTCAAGTGCATCCGTCTGAATGTCCCATTCTTTCCCTATCAGAATTCTGACCCTAGGACAGTACGTCTGCGGAGGCTGTGCCTTTGGTCTCTCTTGAAGCTTCCGCACTCTTACAATCAGATCCTGGGCCCGATTTTCAGCCCAGCCTACACTTGGGCCATGAGAGATGGGGTCATTTCAAATGCTGTTATGGAGTTCTCCCGTCTTCACGACATACCCTGAGTTCTCTTTCTTCAAGGCTTCTAGGGCAATCAACAAAAACCAACCAACCCCACAATCCTTATGGTTACGATTGCCCTGTATCTTTCAAGCGTTAGACTAACGGCATAAGTCAATGTTGCCCCTGGAACGTCACCTGTACCTCATCCCAGTCCACTGCACACGGCATAAGTCAATGTTGCCCCTGGAACGTCACGTGTACCTCATCCCAGTCCACTGCACACGTTGTGGACACACTCTGCGATGCTGTCATCTGCCAGGGGTTATCACCACCTTAGTCACTACCAGCATTTGGGTCTGCGTTGTCACTTCACGGGTGAGGGATCTGTTTTCAGAAGCCCATCCTGCTTCTGCCATTTCTGGTAACTGTCCTAGTCACTCGCCCACCCCCATCCCCCAAACAACTTGAGACAAGGGCTTGTGTGCAGGTGGATTACCTGGGAGGTAGTCCCTGGAAGCATAGCAGGAAAGTAGAGAATGTGAGAAAGAGAAGCCAGTGAAGGTGTCGGGGAGCAAGTTCCACTGTGTGCGACTAGGGCTGAAACCTCGAGGGAGCCTGGAGGAGACCATGCGGAATGTGCCCTGCAATTGGCTCTGGGCTACTTACCTGCTGTCACTGTCCGTCACTGACAGGGCTGCCTGTAGGGCCTAGTCCAGATTGCTCCTCACAGGGTGGAACAAATCCCTGTGGTGCTGAAGATAAACCAGAGGGATGACGGCATGTGAGGTGGGAAATTACCAGCCTGCCAGGAACGATCTACCAAGGCTTTAGGTGAACACAGATACGGGCCAGATAGTGCCTGAGTTCACGCCCCTAGGAAGTGGTTAGGGGCCAGGATGTCCACGCCGGTGACTTCGGATCACCCTGCCTGCCCAATACACCAGAAAGGGGAAGTGCCTTGCCCAGGGCCACTACCGCCGAGACAATTCTAAGAGGAGGCTTGCAGGGACCCATCTCTTTCTGTGCCCCTCCTCCGTCTTTGATGTAACTTAGGTTTTCTCAATCTTACGTAAAGTGCTACCCAAAGGCAGCTCTGAAGCAAGCTCCCTGGGCCTTGTTTTCTCTGGGACTGCCTATCTGCCTAAGCAACTTGAGAAATTTTGGAGCCAGTAGCTGGAGGGAGGGAGGCTCAGGTCCTAGGTCATGCCTCGGCTCTCCCTGCAGGGCCCCAGAATGGAGAGTATCTTGCTTCAGGACTGGACAGACTGTGGAGTGCTTTCAAGCCTCGGTAGAGAATTAAATATTAGTGTGAAAACTGCCCTAATTGTAAAACA